TGTGTTTAGATATACATGTATGTATCACGTACGTCTCTGGTTCCGATTGAGGTCAGCCTCTTAACAGCTCCAGGAGCCGCGTGCAGGTGGCAGCGCACCTCCAGCGACGGAAGAAGCTGCACCGGGCCCGGGCCTCTGGGGCCCCTAGGCCTCCGGCAAATCAAAGACCCGGGCCCTTTGCTTGGTTCCCAGCCATCCGGTTCCTTAGCTTTTGAGCTTTTGGATTGGTTTAGTGGCGGTTTCTATTGAACCCACCGAAAGTTGCCTTGCTAGAGGTTGTGAACCTGGCAGTGGGTAACACTCAATCAGCATACGGCATACGGATCCCCAATTGTGGCCCGATTTCTTGATTTGTGTGCTAAGTGTAGCTATTGGTTGGGTAGTCTGATTGTTACTCGCTCTCACCGGCAACTTCTTCCAGAGACATCTTTGTTGTCCCAAAGAGCATGGGCAATGGGTCAATGGTCACAAGCTGCCCTGCAATATGTGTCCACCAGGGTTTGTGTGCGTGTGTGTCTATTTGAGGCAAAAAGGTACCCTTTCAACCCAAAACAAAAAACATCCTGGAGGTGTGGGGGCGAAACACCTTCTTTGCCACACACCCAAAAGGCCAACGGCCAGAACTGATGGTTCATTCGGGCCACGCTCGCTGAGCTTGAGTCCAACAACCTGGTCATGAGAGCACTCCCTTCAGATAGCTCATGGCCGCGGAAAATTCGGTTTTAGGTCGCCCTGACAATTGACAGAACATTTTGTCGTGGCTGACCGTGTGGAAACCACTGACCTTGTTGCACCCATCTTTTCCCCACAAACAACAGGTAGGGTGCAAGGGCAGCCCTTCCCACCGTAACTTCCTCTTCGCGACTTTCTCAAAACCAGACCCCCAGACTGGTGACTTTCCTTCTGGGGTACTCTGCAAAAACCCCCATATTATGCCACTCCATGTTGAATAATGCTGGCTGAGCCCATGCTTAAGCCGTGGTTAAAGGGCATCGCAACTAATCACACCTCGGCTTGGAGGCTTTCAAGAAGTGCTTCTCCCAGCACGTGCAGAAGAACCTGGACCTCGAGGTGGGTTTTGGAGAAGGATGGGTGTTACTCCAGAAGGAGGGCAAGAACAGAACCCCGCAAAACAGGGGGCCCAATTGCGTAAAGGATGCAGATGGAGTTGACCCTCGAAAACTCGCTCCGCGAGTTTCTGGGCCGTATTCTTTTGGGAAGACCCTTTTAGTGGTAAAACTAAAGTTTGAACTTTTTTGGCAAACCCCCTCAGGAAGTGAGAAAATGGGGATCCCTTCGAACAATGAAGTTTGGTGTGTTTGTTTGCTGCCCTGCAAATTAGGGAGATCTCTTTGAACCATGTGCTTTTTGGTTTCACAAATATGCAAGTTGCACTTGAGCCAATCGCATGGGAGGGTCAGGCATGAGATCCTTGTTTTCGGGCACCTTGCTGGTGTCCCACTCCTGAGGAGCAGTTCTGGCATAGTCCGCTGGTTGTCTATTGGCGGAAAAGTTGTTGGTCCTCGACTCTGACTGGATTTTATGTTGTGGTCGTCTCCCTGGCCCATGGCATCGCCGTGTGACGCCTCCTAAAGTCTCGTGCCCAAAACCCGCGTGGGCGACGAACTTACCTCATGCCTCAATCCAGGCCATAGGGTCCTGCACAGGGGGTTCCGGTGCTCCGAAGCGAGGCCATTCCGCTTGAACGGAGGCATTTGTTTTGTTTATTTCTTTTCTTCTTTTTTTTGGTCGCACGATATCTCCGTTTGCTTGTCGATCGGCTTGTTTCGATCGGCAACTTGTGTTTCCCCTTTTTGGTGGTTTTACACTTCGCCTTTTGGGCCACTTCAAAGTGACCTTCCTTGTGGATCCTCTCAGACAAACCCATGGGAGCCGTGGTCCAGGGTCGATGGATGTTCAAAGGGTGAACTTCTATTGGAGGACCCTCTTTCAAATGAACGTGTCTTTTTTGAAGGCTTTCCCAAAAGATAAGCCTCTGACACCTTCCTGACTTCCATGATTGTTGGAGCGAGGACTTCCTTGCTTTTGCCTTGACGGGTCCCAGCCCCAGGCTTTTAGACTCGAGTTTAGAGACATGTAGGACACATCCCACGAGAAGTCCACCAAGTTACGCTGACCCCTGCTTAGCTCCGGTGTTTGCACGGACACCCGGCAGACTCATCCCTGAACAATCCAAGATGGGTAGTTCTAAAATGCGGAACCCCTAAAATGGTTGGTTTACTTTGGTTTCCCTCTAATTTAATCAGCACGGCGTGATCGCACAGGCCAGCGTTACAGTCGCCAAAGCCCTGGCGCGGTGGCTCAGCATGACAGCGCTGTCTCCACGACTCCTCGGGAGCGGTTGTTTCCTGTACAGCGCCAAGAGAATGGTGTGAAGTGCTGGGAGGTCTTGACCCACATGAAGAACGCGCGGGCCGTGAGCGGAAGCGGCTGGAGCTGACAATGATGCCCTAGACTCTGCTGCCAAGCGCTGCCAAGTGGAACTCCAGCATCGCAATGCTGGAGTGTGACTACTCCACCCGGCTAAACTACGTGGAGCTGCGTACTGAGCAAGGAGAAGTGCTGGAGAGCTAGCCCAGTGGGGCGTCTCAAAATGGTGAGTCCCCGAAACGGAAAACCATTTTAGGTGCCCTATTAAGCCTATTTTGAGAAGCACCCATTTCTCTTAAGATGCATGTTGTTTCATGAAGTGTGCATCTCCTACGCTTGAGGCATAGGCTGTTGCTTCATATCTTCCACAGTCTTGTCTATGTTAACAACTCTTCCAGCCAGATTTGTCAGCGCACCCCCGTCCGCTTTTGTTCCTTGAGGATGAGAGTAAGCTTTATATTCGCTGATTGGACCCACTGTGACAGTGCATGATCAGCATGATCAGCACAGTTGTCGATTTCAACAATTACGGACTTCAGCATTTGAGCATGGACATAAGAGACGCTCCTTTCTGCAGGTGGCTGGCCTGCTGCTTTGTAGCGGAAGGCAACTACGTATTCTATACAATAATAGCACAATCATAGTGCTGTTTGGTAGCTTGTCATTTGCTATCGGTGCGCTGGGTACATGACCACGCTCTGTTTTGGCAAGCATCACACCGCGAGCTTCCAGTTGCCACAATCGTCCGTAGGTACTCAAGGAAAAAAAACAGAAGCAATACCTGGAGGACCAAAGGTAAGAGAGAGCCCGTTACCCACACAAGGCAACTTTTGACTCCTGTCAACGGGATCCCACCAACTCGCGAGGGTCGATTCCTGGTTTCGACAATACCAGAGGTCCGAGTTGTAGTTGTTTGGCAAAAGGGTTGGTGCTGTCGAACTATGCCTTGAACGCAATCTCCGCTTCGGTTTCAGAAGCTAACTATACACATTTGTACTCATTTAGCATTCTGAACACTATGAGTTAGGGGACCCGTTGAACAGGCTCTAACAAACGGATTCCGATCGCTTGCAAGAAAAAGGAGCCCAATTTTTAGAACTTCTAACCCATTCCACAGGTCACCCAAATGAAGACACATGGTGATTGTGGCACATTGCAACCCCCCTTGAAAATGGAGTTGTGCACCCTCCTCCCCCTTGAGGTGCAGGGGGCATGCAGGGGGGGGTGTTGGTTCGGCCGATTCCCGGCTTCCGAGGCCCAGTTCGGGTTCGAGGATCCGGCGACGCAGGAGTTCCTGGACAGGCGCCGCTTGCGCGCTTGCGCGAGATGGAACCGGGGGCAATGGTCACTTCTCCGATTTGCGGCCGGGTTGAGAGCGCAAGAACAAAAACGACAGGTGGGTTCCCTGGAAACAGCCAGGGGATGGCGTTGCTCAAGTCTTGCCAGAGGGCTTTGCCACTTGTTTGTTGAACACATCCAGGGTGTCGCTCGACGGTGGGTTTGCACGTGGGACCCATCTGTGAAAACACGCCTGCCATTGAGACCCCGGCTCACCGTGCGTTTCGCCTCACCTCTCAGCCCTCAAGCCGCACAGAAAGGCTCCGCGCCATGGTGTTGGCCCTTCCTTGCTATGTGTCCACATGTTTCAATTTCTTCACGTGAAAAAAAAAGAAAAGCGCGGGCCAGTGTCAATGTGGCGCGCTTCTAGAAACCATCCGTTCTGTTTGCAAGCACGGGAGCGCTGGATTTGTCACTAAATCGATCCTGACGGAGGCGACTAGAAGACCACTTTGCTAATAGGACCCCTCTCAGCTCTTGGCGGTTCCCCAGCCCAACCCCAGAAATTTAAAGACTGTAAGATGCCGGGATTGGTGTCGTATCCAGTAATTAAATGCGTATCTTTGAGCAAGGGATCGACGAAGCAGGTCGGTCTCACTCCCTGAGCTCCTGAGCTCCTGGACCTGATGTTTCTTGGGAAAACTAGTGGCCCAAGTGGCCGAAGTTCGGAGGCTTTGCCCGTCTCAGGAAGTGAGAAGCCTCCACTAGGAGCGTTCTTCGGAAAGGAGAAGGAGTGCAATCGGTCCGTTGTTTTTAGAGGAGGAACCCATTTTGAGGGTGCCTGAGTTCAGGTTCCGTGTTGATTTTCAAGTAGAGTATCTGCCACAGCACGGCAATGAGAGTGACTTATGGGACATCCATAAATCAACCATGAGCAACACAACACCTTCTTTTTTTTTTGGGGGGGGGGGGCACGTGCAGCCTCCTTTTAGTTGGTGCTTTGGTGATTGAGGAGGGGTTTCGGGGGGTTACCCGAGTGTTGTTCTTGTTGTCCGGGAGGCTTACGGCCAGCACAGATCTTCCGCGCCTGAGCGCTCACTCCGCCAGCGACTTGTGCTGGAGCCTGGCGCAGTTCACCTGGCAGCGCCTCGATGCAGATGTCGCTGCGCGACCAAACGTGCAGCAGGGGGAACCAAACTCACTTCCTGAGTTCATGAACTTTAAACTTTTCTTGGGAAGACCATTTTAGTGGTAAATATAAAGTTTGAACTTTTTTGGGGCCATCCACTCAGCAAGTGAGAAAGGAAAACCACCCTTTATTGGGTTCCCTCCCACAACTCGAGTCATTCACAAGATTCCATCACCTGCATCTAGTGAACCTTGTAGTTGGGTGACAGATGGAAGTCTCACCCATGTTGGTTTAGCCCCAAGTGTTACTTATGATTTACATTTGCCGGGAATGGTGCCATTTGCTGTCATGCTGCAACATGGAGCCTGAGAGGTCGCAAGACCAATATCCTCAAGGCTACCCCTTCTAGGTTCCACGTGGGTTGGAAGGCCATTGGATCCCTAGTTGAGGACGCTTTCCCAAGCCAACCGCAAGACCCGACTACTTTTTTGGACAGCACTCAGGGGGTTGCGGGGTGCTGGTGGGTGTGAGTTTTGATTGATTGGGCATCATTTACAAGTTAAGTTGGTCCGCCGACTGCTTGGGAGGGTAATTTTTGTTCATCGAATTCCAGAGATCGCCGCGTAGACTCAGTTGCCTAAAGTTGATGTTCCCTTTCATGGGAACCCTAGCAGTTGCAAGGCGTGTAAACGGTTGCCCGAGGAAAGCTTAGGGTGTCTGAGGCTTCGGGTTCCTTAGGACAAACACAACTCGCCCAGCCCAGCGGAACTCTCTCTCTCTCTCTGTTTTTGGGAGGGGTTTGCAACGAAATTCGAGTGCCTGAAAAGGATGTGCGCCTTTCTCTCACCGGAGCTCCGAGATAGTCTAGGCGTAGTCTTCCAGAAGGGGCCGTGCATTTCTGCCTTGGGTACCCCTAACTGTTCCATATTACGAGCTCGGTTTCGAAAAGGACAAGCCAGTTGTGCACTTTCACGGGCTTGGGCGAGGCGGAGGACCATGGCGGAGATAAGATGGACATATACATGAGGAACACGGCTGGCGCGCCAGGGACATCAGTGATCAGAATGGCGTGGCTAGATCCGTCGTTTGGCTTTGAGGCTTCCAGGCTCCGCTTTCTTTTTGGCACTTCAATTAAGCTTGGCTGGAGTCCAGTGCTGACCTTTAGTTGCCAATGATAGGAGCACTCGGGTGCCTTTCTTGAAACCAGCACGCAGCGCAACGGCAGCAAAGCCTACAGCAACCATACCAACGTGATGCAGATGCATCAAATGCCGGATCATGCTGCAAAGCCCGGGCAAATCCGATGGAAAGCGTAGCAGGCAAACGAACATCAGTTGAGCATTGAGGAAAGCAACATCTACGCATGGCATGAACCGTCATTCATCGCAAGCAATGTATGGAAGTATCACCCAGCTGCAAATCCAGCCTGGGTGTCCATGGAGCATTTTTCAAACAACAATCAGGCGCCCCCTCCCCCCAAAGAGGTAGGCCCATTGGCGAGCATGTGATAGCTTTGCTTGGGCTCCTAGTACATACTCGGAGGGGTTTATGAGACTTACAGGGTACATCCTGATTGGAAACACGGCAGGTTGCATCTGTTTCGCACACGATGCTGGCCTGTAAGAGACCTTGCGGCAACCGAACCATCCTCAGGATCGAGTGGAACCGACGCTTCGCGTGGAGCTTGCTGCACAGGCTCTATGACATGCCGGTGCCAGAGGCACGACCAAAGGTGATGCTGGGGGTTCCTCAGAAAACAATCAGTATTTTCAGATGAACTAGATTTGGATCATAATCTGAGCCGCACAATGCAGGCTGCCTTGTAAGAAGTGAGCACGGACCAGGTGCAAGTGTTATGCTTTTGCATCCCTCAAGGAGAGCCCAATCAGGTCTTCTTTTCCCTTCTTGAAGGATACAATATTCGCCCTGACCTGCAGAGACTGCAGATGGAAAGAACAAGCGCTGCTGTGGGTGGAAGAGAGTGATCCATCCTCGCACAAAAGGGATCTCCCTTTCCAGCCTCTTAAACATACCTGATGGACTTGAGCCATATAGTGAGGTTTGATCAAACTGTACAGTAGTCCATGGTCCAATGGGGAGGTACATACGGGAACTCACTGAAGTTCCTATACATCCAGGAGCACTCACTGAACCTCTTGTCTGTAGGCATACGTGTTTCGATGAATTTGCAGGGGGTATATGTATATAATTTGTTTGTTTGTTTGTTTTTACTATTACTATTGTTATTTCTATTATTATTACTATGGTTTATTATTTGCGTTGTTATTGTTATTACTACTATGTTTACTATTTATTTATTGTCATTATTACTATTAGTATTACATATTTTTTGGATTGTGTTATCAGTATCACTATCATTATTGTGACTATTAATATGATTACTATTAGTATTACTATCATTTATATGTATGATTATTATTTTTTTGTTTATTTATTTACTTATTTAAATTTAATTTATTTATTTATTATTTATTTATTTTTTAATTATGTACATACATCTAAAAAATGGTAGATCCCCTGTGACTGTGGGATGGTAACGTACTTGTTTTGAGACAAACCCAAGGAATCACCAATTCGGCAGGCCTTGCAGGACGACTTGCTGGACTTTCCTGCCTTCACTGCGCGCCCGGACGCAGGAGACATGGATGCCCGGTCGTTGGGTCCCTACGTGTAACATCTTACGTCTCTCCTGGGGTCTCCAAAACGATTTCTCACTTTAGGGCAGGCTAGCTGGGAAACAGAGTTTGAGCATATTATTTTTCTGTGTACCCCTACTGATGGACAAACTCTTGCTGCGGTTGGGATGGATTCATCCTTCGAAATGCTGCAATAGACCACCTGCCGGTCACGACACTTGCTGTGATAAGGCAATCCTGAAGTTTGAATGCGATCAAGTCGTGGGAATGAGACACAGAAAGGCCTGGCCGGTGGATCTCGGGTTTGGTTTTGGAGGTGGCGTTCAATTTGATTTTTCCCGTGACACTTGCTGTGGCGTTTGCCTGGTTGAAGAAAGCCAGCGGCATCTGAAGGATGCCCTCAAGAGGTGGTGGCTAGCTGACCGCAACGAATGATCAGCTTCTTTGAGGCCAGAGGAGTGTTGAGTAAGGTGCTCAAACAGATTGGCAGTGTTTACATTCTCGGATTGCAAGGCCTGTTATTTTTTCAGTTTGATTTTATCCTTTGTTTCGTCCACGGACTTTGGTGTGCAGCGTGTTTCAGGGACCTCTGTAGGGAGGTTCCCCGTACAGATTGCCATTTGCCCACGAATCCGCAACACTCTCAAAATGGTTGGTGGACACATCCATGCAAATGATGCCCACCAAAGTGTGTCCAAGCCAATTGAACATTATTCCCATGTAATTTCTTTGGATCGTTCATGTTCTTCCGATGGTATGCTTGAGGATCTTTGCTGCGCCTGGCTTGGGGATTGAGCGTCCTCAACGAGGCAAGGATCAAATTCCAATGGCTTCCTTGCTCCACGAGCGTCCCGGATCGAGGGGTATGTTGAATTGTTCTGAGGTGGGTGCCGATTGGAAGCACGAGGAGGTTGCTTCAACTAATGAGAACAAAGCCATGTGTAGAATTTCCGAGACTGGTCACGAGATTAGCCACAGAACTATTTCGATGAACAAAATTTCGACCACCTTCAAGCCACCCCATTTACCACATTCATAAACCATTTTTGCACCACCTTTCACCCACCCATGGACCTTTGAACCAGCTAGGCACCTTACCTATCACCTTCATCCATCTTCGTACCACCATTAAACTGCCTTGATCTTGGATGTTCCACCAGCTTACTACGTATGTTATAACTACGGCCTTAACCCTGGTTCGTACCGTTATAACCTACTTACCACCATGTTAAGTAGGCTACAACCATGGGGCGAATCTCATCCCAGTTGTAACCATAGTGACGTACTGAGCGGGTTGAGCATCCAAGACTCAAGCATTCACTTTCTGAAGGAAGTTAGCCTAAACGCCCGCCAAACCCAGGGTTTGAACCAACTTTCTGTGGATGTTTCACCACGTAGCTGGGAGAAGGGTCAGTCCCCTTATATCGGCTACACAGGAAGCCAAGACGTTGTTTCTTCCCACCAATTTTGTACCAGACCTCCACTAGTGCCCGTTTTCCTTCTTTTTGAGTGGGTGTCCCATTATAATCAGCTACCAAAACAACGAGCGCCTTTTTTTCCGGTGGCACCAGTCGCTTTGTGACGCGAAGAGGCAGTGCCCGCTCCGCTGCTGGCGGAGCTGCATGTGGAGTTGCGGGGGGAGCTGCCCAAAGATTGGCGCGGAACTCAGATCCAACCCTTAGTCGGTTGGGATTGGTGTGTTTTCTTGCTGGTTTTAGTGGGCAAATGGGAAACCACCGAACCCACACCTCCAAACCATCCAAACCATCAGTTAGGGAGCTGACTAATTAGAGGGATGCGACAAAAGGAGCCGAGGCTAAAATGCCGCGGTGTTTTGGTTGGGGTTGGGGTTGTGTGAAGAAGGCACAATTCTTTCTGGTTTCCCTTGAACCCCCCAAGTTTTGCGCACAAAAAGGCCCCCCCCGCATGTAGTCAACCTTGCTGCTGAAAGTAGATTGCACACTTCCGACTCATGTTGGAAATCCCTTTTCACTTGCCCGCATATATGGAATTGTAGCATTTGCTTGCACACTGGTGTACAGGGTAATGGTGGGGGTTCTGGTGAATTGGGTTGTACCTGGGTTAAGACCGCGTCCATGGGAAATTGGGTGCCCATAATTTGGTGGGAACGACCCAATGCATCCACGATCGTGGAGACTTCGGAAAGTCACACAGCAGAGAGCAACGGGAAACCCGCAATTTTGGTGCAGTGACCTGTGCTACGCAAAGTCGAGCTCGGATCTTTTGGTCCTCCCATGTCCATCTTGATCGGAACCAGACAGTTGGCAGCTTCGGGAGATCCCTGCACCGAGCGTATCTCGTTCGTTTACTTGGCAGGTCCTTATTTCAGATAATTGATAAGTGAAATTTTGCCCAGAATCTCAGAAGAATCAGAACTCACTAGTCTAGTGTGGTCAGAACCGATGACACAAATTCCAGTTGCCCCCTTCCCCCAAAAAACAGGAAAATGCGTGTTTCCATTTCGTTTCCGCCTTAAACAGCATCTGAAAAGGGTACCATCAAAGAAGGACACATCCACGTGTTTGCGCGGCTCCCACAGTGGCCAAGAGCAACAAAAAGCGGCACTCTGCATGTGGTAGTTGAACTTTAACAGGAAACCCACCCCAACAAAAGGAGAACAGAGCACCAGCGGAGGTCTCAAGGGTTGAGGCCTGTGGTTTTCTTCAGGTGCGGCTTCGGGCTGCGGATGCTGCAGGAGGTGGCGTTACATCGACGCTTGGGCGGTCAGGCGGAAGGGATTGGGTTTCGATGTGCCGGTGACCCCAAAGGCCCCGGAAGGACCTTGTGGGAACAAGCGACAAATGATGAGTGACTTGTCCACCAAAACCTACAACGTGTTGGACTTTCTACTCAGAAAAGGAGCCGCTCGGCAAGTGACTCATGTTGAATCCCCGTAAAGGATGCTCTACGAAGGGATCGATGTGCGGTTTGCCCACCGTTTGCAACTGGCTATTCTAGGATTGTGTGTTGAATGTACTTTGCACTTTTCAGGTTCACTATGGACCGGAATGAAATTGAATGAACCATGTTAGCGTTGGTTGGGCGGGGGCAAAAGCTGAAGTAGGATTGGGCGGGTTTTGCTTGGTTGGCTCTTTCTAGTTGCCGTTTGCCGATGTGTTTTTTTGTTGTTTGATTGAAATTTGAAGGGCACCTGCGCTTGAAAGGGGTTTCTTCAAGTGCAGGACGGGATCCAGATTCGAGGTTCCTTCAAAATGTGACAGGTATTCAAGAGTTGAGCCAAAGTACATGTTGTGTTGCTACTAGTACATGTACATGGTGCTTTCTCAAGAAGGCTGAATTCCTGGAGTGGCCAGGACCCACAAGTTTCATTCTTGAGTTTGATGTGCATGTCTCATCCCTCTACAGACTCTACATGCAACCTTTACCTGCAAGTCAGCAACACAAGCTGTCAATGAGTGAGCAGAGCCCTGCGCAAAGAAACCTTGTAAAACTCGAGGCGCAGAGCCAACTAGGTTCTGAGGGTTTAGGGAGGCAGATGTGCGTCAAGCAAAGGCTAGGAGGGAGACCATGTTCTTGACATGGGCTTCGGATTAGGACTTGTTGGCATTAAGCCTTCTGAGACAGATTTGCATGAGCAATGACAGCAATAGGCGGGGTTGTGGTGTTGAACGCATGGATGAAGGCCGTCAACATATCACGACAGTATGCCAGTCAACCAGGGAATCCTCAAGTCTAGTGGAATAAGTCGGGCATAGCACCGTAGCAACCCATCCGGATCAAAGACATTGAGCGGTTGTTGTTACCCACGAGGTGCGCTCATGAGCTCTGGGGAGCTGTGGGGAGCTGTAGAGCTGGCTGCTGCATGTCACGTGGTTCTTCTCACATTTTACTCGGAGCCAACGCGATTGCATTTGTTTTTGGCATGTGACATGGGAGTAGTGTTGATTCAACATTGACATGTCTAGAAAGGTTAAGGGCTCTGCACTTTAATGCACAAGCATGTTTATTTGTCGAAGGCGTTCGCAGCAGTAAAGAGCCGTAGCGTCACTCGTCGTCGCGCTTCTTGGCTCAGGCGGCTCGTTAGATATGAATTGACAGGTGCACAGCCGCCAGGAAGCCAAACTTGTGAGCAGGAACCCCTTCCTTTCATGCGCAGACAATGAGGCTGACGCACCATTCCACTGAGAAACTTGTTCTCAGAATGCCACTGCTTGAAAACTATTGTTGCCTGGTGGTAGGCTGAAGGATGTAGACAAGCTTTTGGCATGCTGCCATGTGCAGCCAAACTGCCAGGCCCAGAGTGCAAGCTGCGCTGGTCACTTTAGCAAACTTTGGCGCCTGATGGCTTGGATTGGTGAGCGGGTGCCTTTTTTTGCGCCGGTGCTTTGGTGCGTTGGTGCGTTGCTGATGGCCTCCCTTTGTGAATCAATTGAAAACCCATGACAGGTGTGTTTGCTTATGGTCCGTGGGTTGTTTCCGTCAATTTCATTTCTGAGTCACTCCCCTGCAGATTAATGAATCCGGACCCTCCAAAAGCGCAATGTTCAGAGAGATCTACATGTTCAGAGGGATCTACTTTTGGGAAATGGACCTCTTTTCGGGTTTCATATTAGTTTGCAGGACAGTATGACATGACTTGCACCCGATCCAGCCCCCCCCCCCCCCCCCCTTGGTGATGCCGCCCTGGTCAGTTGCTGTGAGCGAGCCACACCGTGCAGCTAGCAGAGGCAGGCTGCAAAGCTGTGAATGGGCCGGCGCCACTTCCCATTCTGTTCGGGGATTTCGCGACTTTGATTGGAGGTTGGCAGGAGTTCTATCCGTACATTGCTCATGTTCCAGGATCCTTCTTTTCGAGAATGGATGTATTCTAAAGAGAACCATTGGAATAGAGAGGTTGAATAATCAACCCTCAGAGAAGTCGTCCTCTCGATCACTATGACCGGGGTGATTGCTGGCGCCTTTCTTGATGGAGGGTCGATTTTTGACTCGATTTTGTTGAAAGATGGGGAAGCACTCCAAAATTTGAACCACCTGTCGGCGCGATGAATCACAAGGTGCCAAAGGAACTCAGTACCCACCATAAACTAAAAGAAAACCCAACACAGACAATTTGCTTGCAGAACTAGAGATAGGCTCCCCAGTCCTCCTGGACCAGAATCTTCTATTTGACTTCTTTGTCCGAGCCTTCTTTGAAAAGAGCCTGGACAAAAAGGAAGAAATCGAAGGGTAGTCCTTGATACTCAATTGCATGGTTATTGGAAGAGTAATGAAATGTGAAAAATAAGTTTTCCTGACCCTTCTAAAGCACACTGTACGTAGTAATCCAATAGTAAGCAATACAAACCAATTGGAAAAGCTCTAGGGAGAAACTAAATCAATACTAAGCGAATTCTAAACAGAGAGGAACCGAAGAAGGCCGAAGAGGACGAAAGAGGATCAAGACAAACCAATGCTAAACGCCAATTCTGAATTTCACCAAAAGGACCCGCCAAAGCAAATGATATTTGTTTCGAAGCTTTGTCCAGAACCCCCCCTCCCGAATTCCGTTCCAAATCCTCAGGTGACTCTTTGGCGGCTTGGCTTTGGAGATTTGAGTCTGGAAACCCATGCGCCTAGCCGCCCAAGCCATCAGGCGCGCTCGGAGCTCCCTTAGGAGCTCGAGCATGTCTGTCCCTGGCCGCCGCTTGCTCGGCTCGGCTGTCGCTTCGCGTGCTTCGCCGCGCCAGCAAAAGCCAGCAGCCCTTGGGGCGGCCTGGCTATGAGGGGGCAGAGAGCGTGAGAATCCTCCTGACGTGCTAAGGTTCTGGACTTTAGCCACTTTTGGGAAGGCCATTTTGGGTGGTAAATGAGAGTAGCTCAATAGTTTGGACTTGTTTTGGGCCATCCTCTCAGGAAGTGAGTGTCAGACTTCGAATTCAACTTTCAACATGTTGCGTTTGGTTGGAAGCTGAGGTAGTTTGGCCAAATTGCAGAGGCCTATTGTTGGGTTGGGAGGAGTACCCCTGGCAGTCAAGCCTGGCATTCAAGTAATGGGGCACGGATAGGCCCACTGAGCAGCATGTTAAGATGGGCATTCAAAACCGATTCAAGACCTGTCTTGTTGTGTTGTCTTTGGGAAGGCTATGTTTAGATTGGTAAAGATAGCAGCTTGCCAGCTCCACAAGTCGCTTGCAACGTGCTGTGAACAGGCCAGGTTGAACCTCTCGCGTTTGGAAGCTGCTGCACTGCTTGGTTCATGCACCAAGAAATTCCGGTAAGTGCCACACACATCTGTCCCAAAAGCACGCGTGCAACCTGAAAATGGGCCGCCTCAAGCAAAATGGTCTTCCAAGGATCCCCTGGGACGACAATCCTTTTGTAACGGATCCCGATCATTGGCCGATTCCGAGGACCCGGGAGCTTCGGCAGCTCGCGGCATCGCCTGAAGGTGTGAGTCGGGAGTGCAGCGGTGATTGATACCCCATGCCTCGGGGCTCCCGGCATTTTCCCTTTCAGTGGTATTGATCATCAGTTGGGTTAGTCTGAAGTGAGCATTCTGGGGCGGTGGTAGCATGGGACCTGTGCCTCTTTTTTTCTCCATCATTCTTTTTGGGAAGCCACCACTGTCAGCGGTTTCTTTTCTTCACACTCATCGCCCCGGTCGTTTTGTTATTTCGCCTTTTTTTTATCGCATCGAGGCCCACGTCTTAGGGAAATGTTCTGTGTTCAAGTTTTTGTTTGGTGTCCCTTGAAGATCAGCTACCGCATGCTACCGCTACTAAACGGATGCCCTTTGTCACATGGGCATTTCCTGGCTGCCGGGGTGTGTTAGAGTGCCCCCAAAAGATGTACAGGTTTATGCGAGATGCCGCCATGAGACCCGCGGGCTCGGCCTTTGCCACTCTTGTTTGCATTTGGGTATCTGTCAATGTAGGACTGGTCCCAAGTGAACAGTTTCGGGGATTCTCAGAAACTGGTGTTAGTTTTTTTCTTTTGGGGGGGCTGCCTTCCAACCTGGAGTTGGAGGGTTTTGACGAGGCTCCAAGAGATTATCAAACCACCAGAGTCGAGAATCGTCCAAAGGTTTCTGTTGTTTCTTGCCCTTACAGCAGTTCCCCTGACCCTCCCCCCCAGAACCACACCTTTGAAGAGCCTCGGTTTAGCTCTTCACAGGGATTCCAGGGTGGAGCGGTCAGGGGGACTGCTGTAGGCGATGGTTTTCCCACCCTTGTGCCGATCGAGTCTTCGGAGCAGCCCTAACAAGAGCATAAGCAAGTATCTGCCTCTGAGCAACACTTTTGGCTGGGTCTCAACACTAAGGGACCCTTCAAAATCGGTGGTTGGAAACCTTTGTATCCCTTAACACACCCAAACAAGTAAAATCAACAGCGAAAATAGCATTTGCACATTGCTCTGACGTACGCCTACTATGAGACCTACAATGAGACTTGCTTGAACCGATGCTAGTATGAATGCCAACAACGTTCGCAGGTTGACAAATGTTTATTTACTAGGGGGAGTCCTCTACCTTTTGACTCTCTCTCCCCGATCTGGCTAGGTAACAAGTGTGATCTACCCATCAGTTGCTTGATCTAACCCGACATCTTCTCGAATTTTGGGCCAACAGCCAAGGATTCCCCAGAAAAGTGGGCCGGATGGGTTGGCGTCAGGCGTCCAGAGGTTCACTCCCTATGACACCGCGAGCACCGCCTGGGCGCTGGCCAAGCGGCAAGTGCGGGAGGAGTGACTCGCGAGTGACTCGCTCGAGGGAAGGCCTCTCCACAGATTCGGCGGATGTTGGACTGTGGATGGTTGCGAAATCCAAATCGCACCACCGT